CACCTAACAGATCCGAGTCAGCGACTTGTTCAGAACTGTCTGTGGACTCTTAGAAATCTTTCAGATGCTGCAACTAAACAGGTACGTTGTGCAGACACTGCTGCCTTGGTGCTCGGGTCTCCATGAGCCCTGAACTCAGCGTGTTTTTATCTCCACAGGAAGGGATGGAAGGTCTGCTTGGGACTCTAGTGCAGCTTCTGGGCTCAGATGACATAAATGTGGTCACCTGTGCAGCTGGAATTCTCTCTAACCTCACTTGCAATAATTACAAAAACAAGATGATGGTGTGCCAAGTGGGTGGTATAGAGGCTCTTGTGCGTACTGTCCTTCGTGCTGGTGACAGGGAGGACATTACTGAGCCTGCCATCTGTGCTCTTCGTCATCTGACCAGTCGGCATCAGGAAGCGGAGATGGCTCAGAATGCTGTCCGTCTTCATTATGGGCTACCTGTGGTGGTTAAGCTCCTGCACCCACCGTCCCACTGGCCTCTGATCAAGGTAACCTGTCTGCACTTCTGGGCATAGAGATTTTAACTTGGGATTGCCAGTTGGCATGGTTGGCTCAGAGTAGAGCAGGGTGGTGGGATTCCCAAGTGTTTGTGTACTCAGTGCTGCCTGTGATTTGGTTGTGTTGTACACCAATTCTCCCTTTGTGTAGGCGACTGTTGGACTGATTCGAAACCTTGCCCTTTGCCCAGCAAATCACGCACCTTTGCGGGAGCAGGGTGCCATTCCACGACTAGTTCAGCTGCTTGTTCGAGCTCATCAGGACACCCAGCGGCGCACCTCCATGGGTGGAACACAGCAGCAGTTTGTGGTAGGGAAATCTTCGTGACACTTGGTTGTTTGGAGGTGTGTGTGCGTGAATGCTTAATAAACATATGCTGCCTCCACCCCTGCCTTGAAGGGCCACTAACGACTGAAAAATACTGTTTCATTGGTTTCCAGAGAAAAGAGAGGGGAACACGGGGATTAGGCCTTCAGTGCCTGTGCCCGTGTAGGAAATCTGCCACAGCCGTATCTGACTCCAACTTTGTCAGTTTCTTCCCACCACATCAGAATACAGAGAGGACACAACAGGTTTTAGAACCCATACTGCAGTTCTGTGGATTTCCTTTCTCCATAGGATGGCCTCATACTTAAGGTGCCACCTACAGTCTAAGGAAATTTCTGTGTTCTCACAGAAATCCAGTTGACTATAAAAGTCGCAGAGTGATGTGGGAGTGTCATATATCAATCTGTTGATTTCATTGGTTAAGCAATAAAGAAACTCCTTGGCCCTGATAGGTTAAAACATAGGTGAGAGGAGTAAACAGAATAGGATGCTGGGAGGAAGAGGAAGTGAGCTCAGACTCTGCTCTGCTCCCGGAGCAGAGACGCCATGATCAGCTCTCTCGGGTAGATGCGATAGCTCTGCGCTCTGAAGCACACGTGATGAAGCTCTGACCCAGGATGGACGTAGGCTAGAATCTTCCCGGTATGCGCACCTTGGGGTGCTTACACAATTATTAGAAATGGGCTAAATTAATATGTGAGAATTAGCCTAGAAGAGGCTAGATAGAAACGGGCCAAGCAGTCTTTAAATGAATACAGTCTGTGTGTTGTTATTTCGGGCATAAGCTAGCAGGCGGCTGGGTGCTGGGGACGCAGCCCCACTGCACTTATTACTACAGCAGAGTTGTAATATAACTCAGTCCTAGGTTAGGAAGAAAGTATTCAGCACAGTGCTGCCTGAGTAGGCTTGGGAGATGCCAGCAGTGGCCATTCTCCTGGAGTAGAGTTGTCACAAGGGACGCCATCAGGGTGACCCACATTCACTGCAGCGTACCCAGCATGCTTGTGCTCTTCCATACAGTAAGTGTGCTGGCTTAGGAGTTTAAAGGACGGGAAAGCTGAACACACAAACGCACAGACATTGAGGGACCATGTATCTGCAGAAGCTCAAGTCTCCTGTGCAAAAACTTCTTGGTATTTACATTGTGCCTATGTTTGCCCTTGGGTCATGCTAATCCTGTAGGGTGCATGAGAAGAGAATGAGTTGCTCGAGGCAGACTGCTCTTGGCACAGGTACAGGCTTTCCTGCTGCTACGTTTGATCAGTCTGTGGTTAATTGAACCTGCAGATGTAGAAGCCACAGAGCACAGGAGGACTGCTGGCCCTGTGCAGGGAGAATCCTGCTGCCATCAGAATGATACCCAGTGTGCGGGAACCCTCCGTCCTGAGCACTGGGCAAGCTCTGAGGACCTTAGGAGACTGTGTGACTAGAGTAGCGACTGCTGCTCAGAGTGCCAGCTTGTTGATGGCTTTTCTCCTAGGAGGGCGTCCGCATGGAAGAGATCGTGGAAGGGTGTACCGGAGCTCTCCACATCCTCGCTCGGGATGTTCACAACCGAATTGTAATACGAGGACTCAATACCATTCCACTGTTTGTGCAGGTGTGTTGACTTCAATGGGAGCCTTTCAGACTTTTTGTTCCTAAAAATTGAGAGAATTGGAGACCTTTCTTTTTAGGAGCATTGGGAAGGAGGGAGGGGCAGAGCACAGCCTCCAAAGAACAGGGTCATGGCTGAGAACCTCTTGTGTGAACACAGACATGTAACACAGCCGAGTGGGGTGCTCCTGACACCCCACAGTGGGCAACTTTGTACATTTGGGCACAGGCCTTGCTTTATTTTGGGATTAATTGGGTCTTGTTTCTGTGCTTTCTCCATAGTTGCTTTATTCCCCCATTGAAAATATCCAAAGAGTAGCTGCTGGGGTCCTCTGTGAACTTGCTCAGGACAAGGAGGCTGCAGAAGCCATTGAAGCTGAGGGAGCCACAGCTCCCCTGACAGAATTACTCCACTCCAGGAACGAAGGCGTGGGTGAGTAGAGGAGCCTCCCAGCCCATTAGCCGTGTGCGCTGTTGCTGGGCCTGTCCTGAAGGGCCGCTTTCTCTTCCTTTCCCAGCAACCTATGCAGCCGCTGTTTTGTTCCGGATGTCTGAGGACAAGCCACAGGATTACAAGAAACGGCTTTCGGTAGAGCTAACCAGTTCTCTCTTCAGGACAGAGCCGATGGCTTGGAATGAGGTAGGCAAGCGGGGCCTACTCAGCAACCAGTGCTTGTTCTGCGGTGTCTGCGAGCCGTCTCTCTCGGGCCTCAGAGTAACACACATGAGGAGGGCTGCAAGGAAAGAGTCTGCTGAGCACTTGGTTGGGAGTCAGTTTATCAATTCTGTGTTTACAACAGTCTGCTTTTCTACTTTACATATACTTTCTCCTTAATTCGCCCTCAGTTATTTGAATCATGGTTTCTGGTAAACTTCTAAGTACATTTTAGACACCCTTTAGTCCCAACTAGAGTGCACAGTCCCAGTGGGTGGTGGTGTTTGTTGAGTGCAGTCTTGGGTTCCAAACAGTGAGTAATGTGAGAGATGGGTGTTCAGTAGGCATGTTCTGACCTGAGCCCTCGACTTGCCCCACCCACATCCCAAACCTGTTCCCATTGATGCCTTTGCTATTCCAGCCACTGCCCACTCAGCATCAGAGCCGTCTCTGTCGACTGCTGTTCCTCTAGTTCTGGAACAGCATGGCTGTTTTTAGAATGAATTGGTGAACGTTTTATGTCTTTTGATCTTATGTTTATAAATATTCAAGTGTGGTTTTGGAAATTTATATTCTGCCCTGTACCCATTTAGACTGCTGATCTTGGACTGGACATTGGTGCCCAGGGAGAAGCCCTTGGATATCGCCAGGATGGTATGTTGTAAAGCATTGATCCCCAGGGCTGGCCCACTCACCTGGGAGCCTGGAGTGGAGGAAGTGGTAGCTGCACTTGAGGTGGTCCCTGAATTCCAGAGTCAACAGCAGTGTCTTAGTGGAGCACAGGAGCTTGGCTGTGGCATGCTGCAGTTAGATGCTCCTTCTGCCAGCCCTCTCTGTCCCGACTTTTCCTCTTTGATTAAACATCGTACCTTTGTCTGGAGACGGGAGGGTCAGGGGTGGGTGATTGATAGTTGGTCCAGATTTGAGCCCCACAAAGTGCCGCTGCCATCACCCCATCCCTGAGGCTTTACCCCAGGAACTGCTGGAGCCCTGGCTTCTCACCTGAGATAGGCAGTTTGCATGCCAGGTAGGCTTCCTCCGTCTCCTGAGGCAGCCAGGCACAGTAACCTGCTGCCTCATGCTCTGCCAGGGCAAATGTCGCATTGAAGGCAGACTGCTGTGGTGAGGCCTGGTGTTGTGCAATTACTTAGGAGACTAGTTCCTGGTAAAATGTCCTGACCACGGTTAACCTGTCTTTCCTCTCTTCCAGATCCCAGTTACCGTTCTTTCCACTCTGGTGGATATGGCCAGGATGCCTTGGGGATGGACCCTATGATGGAGCATGAGATGGGTGGCCACCACCCTGGTGCTGACTATCCAGTTGATGGGCTGCCAGATCTGGGACATGCCCAGGACCTGATGGATGGGCTGCCCCCAGGTGACAGCAATCAGCTGGCCTGGTTTGATACTGACCTGTAAATCGTCCTTTAGGTAAGCAGCTTGTAAAAGCCAGTGTGGGTGGAACACTTACTCTGCCTACAGAACTTCAGAAAGACTTGGTGGGGTGGGATGGTTTTAGACCTGTTTGTAAATCTGCCACAAAACAGACACAGACCTTGGAAGGAGATGTTCGTGTGTGGAAGTTTCTCACTTTGATGTTTTTGCCACAGCTTTTGCAGCGTTAAACTCAGACGAGTAACATTTGCTGTCTTCAACATTAATAGCAGCCTTTCTCTCTATACAGCTGTATTGTCTGAACTTGCATTGTGATTGGCCTGTAGAGTTGCTGAGAGGGCTCGAGGGGTGGGCTGGTATCTCAGAAAGTGCCTGACACACTAACCAACTGAGTTTCCTATGGGAACAGTCGAAGTCAACTTTTTGTTGTGGTCCTTTTTGGTCGAGGAGTAATGATACAAATGGATTTGGGAGTGACTCACGCAGTGAAGAGTGCACAAGAATGGATCACACGATGGCGTTATCAAACCCTAGCCTTGCTGGTTTTTTTGTTTTGTTTGTTTTTGTTTTTTTTTTTTAATATCTGTAATGGTACTGACTTTGCTTGCTTTGAAGTAGCTTTCATTTTCTGCAGTAACCGTTAGTTTTAAGTCTCGTAGTGTTATGTTCTAGTGAACCTGCTACACCGATTTCTGATCTAAGAACTGAGTAACAGTGTAGAACACTAATTCATAGTCACGCTAATCTTAATCTGGAGACGTGTAACATTGTGTAGTCTTTTGTATAAATAGACAGATAGAAATGGTCCGATTAGTTTCCTTTTTAATATGCTTAAAACAAGCAGGTGGATCTATTTCATGTTTTTGAACAAAAACTTTATCGGGGATACGTGCGTTAGGGTCCATCAGTAAGAGGTGTTATTTGAGCCTTGTTTTGGACAGTTTACCAGTTGCCTTTTATCCCAAAGTTGTTGTAACCTGCTGTGATCCAATGCTTCAAGAGAAACGGTTATAAAATGGTTCAGAATTAAACTTTTAATTCATTCGCTTGTGTCCTGTGGTTTGTCCTGAGATGGATGGTGAGGGATGTGGTACGAGCCATCAAGGTGCCCAGGCTGTCAGGGTTCAGCATCCATTAGCAATGTTACATCAGAGACCAGGCAAACCAGAGGAAGTGTGGGTGTTTCCGCCTTAAATAAGTGACTGACTGATCCTGGCGCTTCTGACCCAAAGGCGCAGCAAGCCTGTGTAGCCAGCACTCCTTCAAGTTTTATCTTCTCGGCCAAGGACCTTAGCGCACTTCCTACAGTAGTCTCTGTTACAGTGAGTGATACTAAAGCTGAAGCCAAGTCAGCCTCTCCTGGACAGCACCATCCCCTGCACAGGAACACTTGGAGCACTTGGAGAGGGCAGCCCTTCCACTTTTTAAATGCTAATGTTTATCTGGACAGAATCAGCACCTGAATGGGCCCAGCAGAGCTGTCCTCGGGGTGAGTCTGGCAAGCAGCTTTGGTGCATTTCCTGTGCAGACCTGGTAAGACTCATGTTTGGGTCTTCTGAGAGAGCTGTTTGGCTTCCTGGGTTTTAAGGTTGTGCCTGTTAGCCAGCATTCTAGTTCACAGGAGGGCCCTGTGAGGAAGTCCTTCCCAGAGGTGCCAGCTGGGGTCCAGACAAGGTAGAAGGCAGGAACTGATCCCAGAAAGGCATGCATGCTTTTTCAAAAGGAGAGGTCCAGACAGCTGGGCCGGGAACAGCGCCATGTGTATATCTGCTTGAGCAATGGAAACCCTGCCCCTTTGTTCATATTGGGTGGGGCCAATAGAATTACTGCATTCAGGGCTTGAGGTGCAGTTCGGCAAAGCACCGGATAGCAGTAACCCCAGCAGCTCAGCAAGCTGTTGTCTGACCATTCTTCAGTGATCCTTCATAGAGCTGGGTTTGACAGAAAATCGCTGTGAGATACATAAATAGAAAAGCAGAGAACAAGGCTTTCGTGGCTGCAGGCCTTGGGGTATTCGGGGTCTTGAACATGCAAAACAAGTGACAGCAGAACCAGGGCCACCTTGTGAACACCTGCTGCACAGAGTTCAACAGAATCTGTTTCTGGGCCTGCCGGCTCTTGTCTAAACCAACTAGTCCTCTACCCCAGGACTCCTAGCTGCCGGCGAGGTCAAGGATAGGACCTTTTTATGCTGCCTCTAGCATGGGTGAGGCTGGGGCTGCTGCACCCGGGGAGATTTATTAGTGCTTTCTAGTTTCAGTGCTGGGGAAGGCGGTAAAGGACACCTTGTGAGCTGTCCATTGGGGAGACGCGAATCCTACACTCACCTTGTTAACGGCCAGAGCTGCCAGAGCACAGGAAAACGTCAGCCCCGTATCCTGGGAGTTCATGCAGGAAACAAAAGACGTGGGCATGGCAGTGAGCCTATAGCCGACCGCCATTGCTACCTAAGGATCCTCCAGGATGGTTGTGGCCATTTACCCTCTGGAGTTTCCTGAGAGCCAGCATATCCCGCCCTGCTCTCAGGCTGTGGGTTAAAGCAAAGGGCTTGAGCTGGGAGCTGTTGGAGAGGGCGAAGGTAGGGCCTGGGCAGCCACCTCCCTGTCACTTGTGTGCTTAGTAAGACTGAGCGGTGGAGGCAGAAGCCTGGGTCTGGACTGCTGGCCACCACCAGAATCCTAGAGCTCAGGGAAGGCAAAGGAGGAATTGTATTTGCTCTCTCTCTCTACCCAGCGCGCTCATGGTCTCCACGGCAATTTGTGGGGGAGGGAAGTGGCCAGGCAGGCCTAGCCTCTAGTAAGACAGGAGCTCTACTTCACACCACCAGGCCCCTCGTCTGTAAGCCAGCCACCTAACAGAACGTTCTGGAATGTTAAAGCCTTCCTGTTTTAGATTGCTCTGTGTTCTGCTGAAAGGGGGAGAGAGGGGAGGAGGAATGTCCCATTGCTTTGAAGCAGTTCCCTGCAGGATTCCAGAGCTCAAGCACAGAACAAAGGGAGATAAGACCTAGTCCTCTCTCTTAGAGCACCTGCCCACTCGGTTCATAATGCATCCAGGCCAGGACCACTGAGCCGCACGGCCCCTGGTGACACCGCTGGAGCCCTGTGAAGTCTTGGAGCTTTCAGCCAAGTCCTGCTTGGGGCTGCTCAACCTGAACCAGTCATGCCATGGAGCCTTGTGGGCAAGAGGAAGCTGAGGCCCTTGCAGGTGGCTGTGGGGACTAAAGGTAATTGGCATGGCTGCCTTTGATGTGGTCAGGCAGTGTTGCTGTTTTCGTCGTGAGGCTAAATTGGAGCTGGCAGGCTATCGAGATCATGTCACAGCAGGGCTGCCAGTGAATGTAGGCCCGTGCTCCCTGCTACAGAGGGATACTCTGCCTGCCTGCCTGCCTGACCTGGTCTGGCTGTGCACACCCCTCCCCGCAGAAGCAGCCCAGAGCGGCAAGTGGGCCAGAAACCTGGTTCAAAGCTGTTCCAGAGGCCTAAGGTCATCTAGTTGAAACTGCCCAGGCCCCACTCCACACAGCAGCCTCACAACCTTGAGCATCCACCAGACCTTTAGCACTTGGCAGAAATGGTAAAGTCTGAGGGATGAACAATTCTGCTGGTTCATCGCCATCCCCCCTAGCTGGATGGACGCTAGTGTTCCACACTCACTTGCACACTGGACTGCTGTGTGAATCTCACCCAGGCCTCCCTAAAATTCTTGGAATTCTCTGTTGCTGAGAAGGAAAGGAAATGGCTACCGAACACCATGGGAAGGTGAGGTCCGGAGCTGCTGCAGAGGGGCCCCGAGGCTTGCTTGGCCTCTGCAGAGGGAAGAAGAGGGCTTGAGGCTTCAGCTTCTGGCCCGGTGGTTTTATTAGCTCCACTTGAGGCTGGTGGGAAGGAGAAATGTGCGGGATCTGACCTCACGGTGCAGCTGACCATGAGCCCTTGTGCGGCCTTGTCTAGTGCCCAACAGCCTGGAGGAGTTCTAGGGCCAAGGAAGCCACAGTGGTGTCAACAGGCGAGCTGTGGAAGAGAAAGAGATGGCGTTTAACGGGCAGGAGTGGTCAAATGCTCCCTTTAAAGGCCACATACCTGAAAGACCAGCTGGTTCTCAGAAAAGCCCATATTAAAGCCCCAGTGTCACAGTCACAGTTGAGCCAGTGTGTCCCTGCTATGCCTCAACATCAGGACCTGGGCACCAGCTGCCTGTGTGGACCTGTGGGGCAAACACTGTGGGGCAGCCTGCCTGCCAACCCAAGTCCCTGCTTCACAGACCTCCCCACACCCACTCTGCCCCTCCCTGCTCTGTACGGCAAGGTCCTGGCCACTATGGGCCTTGTCTACCAGGAACTGTGGGATACTGCTGGGAGATGGCAAGTGGGCAATTAGGAGCTCAAAATAGAAGCTTGTTGTGTTTGAGACACATGTAAACCAGGCTGCGAGCAAAGAAAAGCGTGGCACTGGGGCAGCCCCCTGAGAGAGCAGACCGTGGGTGGCAGGCACTCTCAAAGGCAAGGAGAGAGAGCCCTTAGCAAGTAAACTAACAGTGGGTGGGGGGTGGGGGGAGTGCACCATGAGAGCTGCAGGCAGGGACCGGGGCTGCCACCCAGAGACAGTTCCATGTATGCATTCCTGCTCTGCCATCAAAGGCCCTGATGGATGGTGGAATGTCTTTGAACTTGGCCTTCTTCTGGCAGAGCCCTGGCCAGTCACTTGGGGCCACACTGCCCACCAGAGCCCCAGAGGACTGGCATGGATGGAAGGCCAGCTTCCCAGCAGGGCTAAATCTAAACAAAGCCGTGCCACCCACTCACCCAGCCCTTGCAGGTGGGGATATCTGAGCAAACCCCAGCAGACAGGGCAGTGGCCGCCTGCATCCTGGAAGTGTGGGTGGAGAGGGCACAAGTCTTGAAGAACACTAAGCCTCCTTTGGACACATTTGATCCAAATTTAAGTCCAGCTCAAAAATAAGCTACCTTTGGTCTCAGGACGAACAGCCTCAGCAGGTGTGGAGGCCCAGATGGCTGGCAGGAAGGAGGGGGACCTCCCTGCTTAGTGGTCAGTCCACCCTGGGCACTGAGCGGTGTTCCTGACCTACGTCTCACAGCATGGGTCCTGGCAGGTGAGGAGGGCCCTCCCATCCAAGCCAGCTTTTCTTCCTGACCTTACGGGACTGGAGTGTGAGCTGCATGGGATCGACTTGCAGGGCCTCAGCCAGTTTCCTTCAGGTGGACCCCCAAATCCCAGACACTGTCTATGAAACAAACCACAGGAGATGCCAGATACCAGTGAAGGTTAGGAGGGGGCTCCTCCCCAAGGTAGGGGATCCTGGCCAGGCTTTAGCCGTGCTTTCCAAATTGGATTCCTCTTTGGCTTTCCCTGAGGGCCACGCCTGCCTTCAGTGTGTGTGACATACTTCTTAGCTGTCACTGCTTCGTGTAGATCCCCTAAAGATGGGCTGAGGAAGACAGCCTGGTGCTGTGGTCAGGGCCAAGACTGCTGACTCCCACGGTCTCCCACCACCAGGCCTGTGTTTCCACAGTGGGCAGAGTCCCATTGTACAGTGACCAGACACAAGATGGCCCCTGATATGGGAGGCAAAAATGGTCGAGAACGTTTGCTGACCTGACCTGAAGCATCAGCCACTTGGCTCCCATACCTGTGAGCCAGAGCCAGGCGCCTCAGGGCCTGCAGAAGGTCGCCAGTGTTCCTGATGCTTTCCAGGTGCTTCTCACTGGAGGTGACCTGCAAGGGGAGAAGATGACAGCAGTCAGCTGCTCCTTCCCTGGTTTGTCCTGGTGGGTGTCAGGCCCACACAGCAAGCATACAGCCTGTATTCTAGGTAACATCACAGAGGCTAGTGAATTCAAGACAGCCTTGCTCCCGTCCCCACGAAGCTGACACTGGCTGGCCTCAGGTCACCCCCACTGCTCAAGAAGTTCATGTCTTTCCCCTTGGTCATAGCAACTACAGCAGGATTGGCGTCCCTCGTTCTCAGAAGAACCTGAACAAACAGTTCACAGGGGCAGTTAGGTGTGCACGGGGTCCTGAGCAGAAGAGACCCACTGTCTGTTCACCTGCTGTTAACTGTGGTTCCTGTAGAGACACGAGAGTGACTTACAGGAACTGCACAGAAAGATGGCTATCAGAGGATGGTAGCCGTGGCTCCCTGATGGTTGGAGGGAGCACAAACTTCAGGCTGCATCAGGTACATCTAGGCCCATTTGCTGCTCCTCCGAGCCCCCAAAGGGGATCACATGCAGGCTTGGTGCACGCAGAGGTGGTACTTCAGAAAAGTCACCCCAGAAACTGCACTGAGATGACTGCCTTTACCCACACGAAGGCGTGGGAGGCAGAGTTGGGAAACTGCTGGGACAGTTAAGTGGCCACGGGACTGGACCGTGGTCACACCATGAGCACAGCATGAAGAAAGCTGGAGGTCCAGTCTAAGTGAGACATCTTTATCAGCGTTCCCCACATACACTAAGGTTCAGAGAGTCTTGGGAAAGGAGGCAGAAAGCGCGAGAACTGGAGGATGGGGAGGAGGCTGTCAAGTGCTGTGTTCTTTCTGGACATGGCTACTGCACCTAGGAACCCAGCAGCTTTAGGCCCACCAGTGCAAGATCTAGGTGTGCACGGGGTCGGGGTGGGCAGGAATGCTCCCCACACAGGTAGGTTTCCCATGATGCAGTGGGTGACCTCATACCTGGGCACATGGGCAGCACTAACTGGACCTAATTTTTTTTTTTTTTTTTAAGGACAGAGTTGGGTGAGGGAGCATGTTGGGGAGATGCGAGAGAAGTTAGGGGAAGTTAATATCACAGATTTTTAAAAAGCAAGTTGAACTCACTGGAAACAATGAGATTTGAGGCACACATGAACTTTAATTGCAGCTGCTGTCTTACAAGGACGAGTACATTAGACATTACAGCTATGTAGAGTTCCAGAGCTGCTGAGTGGGAAAGAGGACCAACGTGTCCACCCACTGTCTCCCTGAGCATAGATGCCAAGTCTGAGTGCTCAAGCAGGCTGTCCAGGCAAACACAGCAGGCTGGCCTGGGAAAAAGGCCACAAATGCCTGAGTTGAGTACACCTGTTTTACTAGGCATGGCCACTTTAAGCTTGACACACCCCACGTCTAGAAGTCCCCAGAGACAAGTGGACAGAGCTCCAGGAGATGCCCAACTGGAGACGTGGGAAGGAGAGCGTTCTCAAGCCCCCAGGGTGTACAGTTTTCGGGCTCCCTGCCCCCCCCCTTCCCCCCCCCCCCCCGCAGTGGCAGTGACTGCAGCTGGTCACTGGAGTCGGCAGATGAAACACCTTCCTTTGCTCTAACAATGTTGGGTTCTGATGTGACACTCTTGTGGACATAGGCAGCTTCACAACAAACAGAAAATGAAAGACCTGGAAGCCAGAAGGTCCTGGGAGGGGCTTGGGAATGCAAGCTCACAGTGCAAATGCTGGGCTCCCCTCACCCCACCTGATTGCAGACATGGGACGATCCGACAGCATTGCATTACCAGAGACCTCTAACATCCCAGTCTGAGCACAGGGGCAGGGACACACCAGGTATAGTCACATGACACGGGAACCTTTGGTCCAAGTCTGAGCACCGTCTGAACTGTCTCAACTTGTGGTTGAATCTACAGAGCAATTTCTGCTACTAAAACAAAGCTAGTTACCACCAGCAGGTTTCCAGCCAGCCAGGACTGCATGACATGACATTTTAAACACCAGGATGAAATCTGAAGTTAGCATCTAGGAAAGTCTAAACTTGAATTAAACAATGGTATGGTGGTATATACCCTTTATGCCAGCATTTGGAAGGCAGAAGCAAGCAAAACTCTTCAACTCAAAGTTCAAGGCCAGCCTGGGCTGTGTAGCAAGTTCCAGGCTAGTCAGAGCTCTGTGGTGAGACTCTGTCTTAGACAAAAAGACACAGAGGTGACACAGTGACACAAGCCTTTGGCTCATCTGACCAAGACTAAACTGCCAACCACTTAACACTCTAGAAACAGGGAATGTGTAGGAGGAGCCAAATGGTAGCAGAGAAGTGATTCCCACCACACACACACACACACACACACACACACACACACACAAATAATAATTTTTTACCATTAAAGCAAAGAACCAAATAAAACAAAACCAAACAAGAACACAACACAGGCTGACTCAGCAGTGAAAAGGAGCGTCACTGAAGACATGAGCAGAAAGCCATCTGTTTGAACACACAGAAAAGGCAATGCCCACATGAGCAGTCTCGGAGATGCAGCTGTTGGAACTGCAGAATAGGAGGATGGAGAAAGAACGTGTGAAAACAGAAATCCCAGCTGCATGTGTTCTAGGTGTGGCAGAGGTGGTGCCCACCAAGATACTCCCCCACCTCACACCCCAGTACCCCATAGCCCAGCCACGCCTGTGGCAGAGGCCTGTCGCACAGCACTTGGGAGGTCCAGGCAGAGTTCAAGGTCAGCCTGGGCTACCTGAGGCCCTGCCTCAAAACAAGCAGGCATGTGTTCATGGGTGCTGCTGCCTGCAGAGACAGTTTTTGGTCTCCAGGGACTGGCATTTCAGGTGGCTGTGTAGCTGTCCACCATAGGTGCCGTGAACTGGATGCCAGTCCTCTCCAAGAGCTGAGTACAAAGTATGTTATAAACCCACTGCTACCACTAAAGCTAGCAGACACGAAGACATGACAGATCAACCAAGGTGCAACGTTACACATGTTCAAGCAGAATGGAAGAGAGCCGGAAAGGAGGAAGCAAGGGAGCCCTGGGTGCGAGCAAATAAGTGGAAATGACGACCTGTCAGTGCCCCGCAGAGTGGCAGCTTACACCCAGCAAGCAAGTTTCTAAATGAGTTTTAAAATAACCCAGCAACATACCAGCCTCCAAAATGCTTACTAAAACTATGATAGAACACCTGGGAAGAATCTCTTCAGATGCAGATAGCTAACTGGAAAGGAACCTGGGGGTAGGGGCAGGATAGTTGGACAAGCCATGGAACCCAGTCTTAAGGTTCACCCAGGGCTGGAGCGACCTTGCAACAGGGCACTGGCCAGAGGGGTGGGTGAAGAAGCCAAGGCCACTTAGGTGTGAGTGGTGGCTTCCTGGTCCCAGGGCTTGGTCTCTCCAGCCACTACAGGGTGTGGAGCTGAGCTGAGAATCTTCTGATCGGCTGCTTTCTCAATAAGTCAGTTTCACCAAAACCCTAGCTGGGTCTGTTCTGTGCAAATAGGCCTGGAGAGACTCTGTACCTTCTTCGGCATGGGGAGGTGAGCTGACACTTGTCCACTGGGCAGCTGAATTTACACGAGACAAAGACTCTGGGAGGAACACTTCAGAGGGAGCCCAGCAATGAGAGCTCTTCCTGCGGGCACCAAGTCTTACACACCCAGAGGCTGATCCAGCGTGGCTGGGTCTTGCCACTTGTCCTCTGCCCAAGCAGATCTCAGTATTTAAAATGTCACATGGCAGGTGCCTGTTTCTCAGCTTTTTTCTTGTCTTGATTCGTCAGCCAGGTCCAGCATGCCAGCCATCACTTCATGCTGGCAAAGTGACCGGTAGCATTTGGCTACCGTCAAATCAAAACAGGAACAAAACTTAAACTGAATACACAAAGCTCACCCAGTCATTAGAGTTGGGGAATCTGAGCTCAGTATTAAGGCCGGTTTGACCCAGTTTTATTTCTGAGGTTGTGATAAAACTCTGACAAGCAGCAGCTTAGTGGAGAAAGAATATTTATGGACCAGGTTATTGCCCATCATTGCAGCAAAGTCAAGGCAGGAACTTCAAACCTCAAGCCATATCACATCCACAGTCAAGAGCAGACAAAAGAATGTGTGCTTCTTGCTTGGCAGCTAATGCCTAGCTCAACTACCCATTCTCAAATAGTGGAGAATGCCCTGCCTGGGAAGTGGTGCTGCCCACTGTGGGCTAGGTCTTCCCATATCTACTGACAAGACAACTCTCACAGGTCAAGCAAGTGTAGACAGTCTCTCGGAGGTTGTGTCAAGTTGACAACCAAGTTTAACCAAGAGTTTAGAAGTGATGCCGAGGCCATGCCTGTGTGTGTGTACATGCATGTACATGCATGTCTGTGTATAAGCATACACATATACATAGTTATACATACACATGCAGTCTATAAAAATACAAAACCTGGAAACATACCCAGCCTGACTCCCTGAGCCAGCATCCATCACACTGGTATGCACAGAGCACCTGACGCAACCCCACAGCTGTCCTACAGAACGGCCCTCAGGTCCTCCCGGTCTCATGACTGCCAGGTAGTGTCTTTGTAAGGACTACCTAGATTCTGGCTCTCTGATCTGGACTTCAGCTTCCCACACAACAGCCCAGCATGAGGAGCCATCATGGCACCTTGAAGGTGGCCGGCCTCTTCAGTGTGCAGCCAAGGCTGTGAGAGCAGAGACAGATCCAAGCCTGCATATCAGAATGGACTCTGCTACCCGTCTTCGCAGGCCTCAGGAACTGGTGTCGATAAACATGATTCCTTCACGAAGCTACAGAGCAAACTGCTCCCCCATAGCCATGTGTGTGTGTGTGTGTGTGTGTGTGTGTGTATGAGCATGTGCGTGTGCATATGTGCGTGTGTGTGTATGAGCGTGTGTGCGTGTATGAGCATGTGCGTTTGTGTGCATGTGTGTGTGAGCATGTGCGTTTGTGTGCATGTTTGTGCATGTGTGTATGAGCATGTGCGTGTGCGTATGTGTGTGTGTA